CCCCCCCCCCCCAACGGTGCTCTGGCGTTGTGGCTGACGGCTGCCTGGCTGTTAACTCCTCTGAATCATTTAATACATCAACATGCAACAGAGGAGAAGAAGAAGAGGAGGAGGAAAGAGAGACAGAAGACGGCAACAGGAGAGTTGGTTTTCCATTAGTTGTGGATGAAGCTGCGATGCTGTTCGGCTGCGGCTGGTATTACTACTTCTACTTCTCAGAAGAGAGACAGAGCGGAGGATAGTTACAGAAGGTGAGAGAGAAAGAGAGAGTGGGAGAGAGAGAGAGAGAAAGAAAGAGAAAGAGAGAGAGAGAGAGAGAAAGAGAGAGCGTTCACTGGGAAGTGTTTCCCAAAAAAAAATCCGTCGTACAAAAGAGATGAGATGCTCATTTGAGGATAATCAGAGAGGAAGGAATGGAGAAAAGGGGGGGTGGGGGGAGGAGAGACGAAGAAGAATATAATGGCAAATAAGCAGACTGTGACAGTATAGGTGCTGCTGTTTTGTTATCATGTTTCTTTTCATAACCTAAACACAGGGCCTGGTAACAATAGCTGGAACACTTACAAATATTATGAAACCTAGTGCAACAAACTGTGAGATCGAACATGATCACAGAGCTGCATCAATACCACATAGAGAATAATATAAAAGGCTATAGATACACATCATATACACTTCATGTTCATATTTTTGATAACATTTCACATCTTTTAAAGCTTTATACCTTAGTGTTGCAAAGTCCCTGTTTTTAATGTCACCTTGCAATTGGATTATTCAACCAATTATATATTGTTGAAGCAACCACAATGGCATTAAACTGGACTTGCACGTAGAATAAAGAGTTAAATATGAAATAATGAAATAGTTCTACTGTTGACAAATTGTATACAATATCAAACGGCTCAAACCCATAATAGTATCCCTAATATATCAGCTAACTAACACATTAGGCATCAGTGACAGATCCAGAGTCAGAAGGATAATAAGAAGGGTATTGCCCAGTGCCAAACTTGGCTGTTTATTGGGGCAAAAAAGGCAGCCATTATAAATGCTTTATGCCTTGGCAACCATACTGTATAGAAATTCCTCTGATGGCACAAACAGAGCGGAAAGCACAAACACAACCTGATATAATAACAACAGCAGTGATCCTGGAGTGCAACGTATTCATAAACGTATTAGTTGAAATCGCTGGTGTTTATGTTGACACTGATTGGTGTTGTGTGTTTCCGTGTGTGAGGGATGTTGCTCCCAGGGAATTTCCCAACCACTAAAAATTGCAGTGACAGTTAGCCATACTGCCTTTTGTTTTGTGTGTATATGTGTGTAATGTACATGTGTGTCTGTGCATACGGCACAAGCATAGTGACAGGTGAGAAGGGACACACACACACAATACTGGTAAAGTCACAAAGCAGTTAGCCTCATTATGCTCTGCTAGCATCCTAAAAATAGGATAAGGGTTTTAATGCCCTGTGTTTTGCCTCACAGGCAGAACCTCTCAGACTGTGACCCCTCCTCCTTTAAGGTTCAACACCATTCATATTTTTGATTGGTTCATCCAATGGGAGCGCTGCGTGGGAGTCTCTTATCATGGCATGGTTAGGTGGTCCTACTTTTCTGCTCATTTGTGATTATCCAGCGAGTGTTTCTGGTGGCATCTTGACTTCAGAACATAATTTAAATAACACAAAAGCAATTTCTTAATATTATGTTGCAAGTAAGTTGTTAAGCCTGATTTAGCAGACAGGAAATATTAAGATAACTATAGAAAATACATTTTCATTTTTTAGTTGTTAGTGTTCAAGACAAATGACCTCAACTGCAAAGCATCTGTTATCTCGTCTTTTATCTCATTTTAACTCCCCAGCACACTATGAAATATGTTTTGTTCTTTGGTTTTGATGCTCAACCAAAATTTGGCAACTGTTTGTTCATTTGTTATGTTCTTCTTTTTGTGACTATGTGTTCCTAAACTTGGAAATATGTCTCTGGTTAACATTTGTATACTTGTACTGTAAATTGGGATGCTATCATGCTTGCCTTGATATTTAGAATCCAGCCGATTGAGGTTGTGATGTGCTGCTACTGCTACTTATAGGATCTGCACATGACCAACAACTGAGATAAAGACACACATACACATTTGAATGTGTACTGTCTCTTTGCTTGCTTTTATTCAGACTGGGCTAAGTATTCATCTAGCACAGGGGTGCCCATTACGTCGATCGACCGGTCGATCGCAAAGGTAGTGTGGGTAGATCGCATGGCATTGAAAAAAAAATATATATATTTTTCCATCCTTACTATGGCATTTGCCACTTGATTGACGTACAGGTAAGCCAGTCTGAGTTGTATTGTGCCATACGGGTTCATGCAGTTATGAGGGGGCCTCACCTCCTCATCTGAAGCGCAAATGCGGCGCACTATTATGCGCGTATGCGGCGCAATTAGTGTAAGCACAGTTTATCCGCCGTTTACTCCACTAGCACCACACTCTCTTCTTCTTCTTTATTATTTACACAACAATACCAGTGCTGACTCCTTCTGGGATAACCCCTCTCACCCTTTCTACAACAGTCCTGAGAGAAGAAATAAAACACAATATTTAAGCCTGGGATTTGGTTTCACATCCTTTTTATTCATATATAGGGGATATCAGATTGAATTAGATTTGATTTGAAAGGGCTTTGCTTTGACGCTCTGGTTCTGCTGTATGTCTTTTAGTGTTTTAGTTCCATTGAAGAAAACTAAAAGTCAAACTCCTTGTCTGTGCACAAACTATAAAGCATGAATGCTTATAAAATGACAGTTTTTAGATGGGCATCCAGAATCAGTGTCACCATGTCATTATCCCACCAAATGTGAAGTATTTTCACAACCTGCTCTTCTTTTCCTGAGTTATTGCATTGAATGATGGCCAGATAAGCTAAACATGATGATGTCACAGTGAACTGGACCTTTTGAACATATAATATCTGATTCGGTATTTGTTTGAAACTATATCATATAAGCATATTCATTGATTTGTTTTGGCCACAAACATGTCTGGTGAGTTCCCAGTAACTTTTGTCCACCACATTGTGATCAGTTCATACTTAAACCCAAGTGGACGCTAGAAAATGAAAGACTTTTCCTAAAGGTGTAACTTAGATATTATGTTCACAAGAATAGGAAGGGGAACCCGGAAAACATAAGAGGAGGAAATTAGAAGAGGGCTTGAGCATGGCTGTTTCTTTGCATATGGGGGATAGGTTGCCTAGATACAGTGGAGAGAAACTCCATTCTAAATTTAAACCTGGAGAGGAGGAGACAGAGTAGCTGGTGTAGAGTGAGATGAAAGAGTGAGTACATTAGAGAGGTCAAATAAATACAGACACAATACTAAATGACAGACAAAATGTTCATAAAACATAGATACATGCAGTAGATCCATTGATGAAGACTAGCAATAAAAGAAGGAGAAATAAAGAGGGTTAAGAAGTAAAGCTCTTATAGATAAGCCCCTCATCAAACACGTATTGCCATCACCTGAAGGAAACAAACCTGAGGTTACCTACTGTAACCCCAGCTTCTATGAGTAAATGGCGCAGCCCTCTAAGGCTATCGCTATTGGGTAATCCCCCTGCGCACCCGCGCAGCACTGAAACACTAGTAGTCCACGCCCACCCGCAAGGTGGGCCCCGCCCTCGGGCCTCCTTCCGGTATAAATAGGAAGGAGGCCCGGCAATCTGCTCTCATACAAAATAACTTTTCTTCAGCTATTCGTAGAGCCAGTGGGGCCCAGCGCTTAGAGGGCTGCGCCATTTACTCATAGAAGCTGGGGTTACAGTAGGCTCTGTCGTTATATGGCTTTGGTTTAAGGCGAAGCATGATGTAGTCTTGCGCCCCACGGCTCCGCCCGGCACTAGCAGCCAGACACACCTGCTAAATAACACTCCCATGCCGTTTGTGCCATGCGTTAATGCGCATTCACCGTCTGAACATGCAAAACATGCCCGATCTTCCGAGGGATGTAAAAGGCTTGGGTACTTTATATACTTATACGGCTGCTGTGAGAACAGTAGAGCGACGGGTCCACCTGCGCAGCGCATGCATAGACACGGGGAACAGCAGCTGCTGCTGCCTGTGCAGACAGGTAGGAGAGCGCCCAGCTGGGGATCCCCTGACGTCACTTCACTCTGACAAGGACACTCCTGTAAAGGGTGTGTCAGAGAGGAATGGGAGACTCCCTTTAATACAATTGAATAAATGAACAAGGGGGAAGACCAGGGATGCAGCAGTGCAAATGTATTCAGCTGACCTTCCTCCGTGCAAAGCCGTGGAGTGAGGA